CAAATGTCTGAAAAAATATATATTGTGGCATATTGTGTATCATGAAAATGTCTTGAAGTATCACAATATTATGTTTTTCGGCCACCTCTAGTTACACCACTAACATGTGCATGTGTAGTAGCCAGAGCAAAAATGTGGACTGTCTGAAAAATCCTGAGAACCACTGACTTATGCTATTTTGGTCAAATTTCACCAGTGATTTCAAACATGGTTTAAAACATTTAATGGCTTTAATGTAGGTCTTTCCCCATTCAAGGACATGTGTCAAAGGTATTGCCTGTGGTAAATGATTACATGCTACACGTGCCGCAGATTGAGAGTACGTTATATACTTTATTGATCCTACAAGGAAAATTTGTCATTTGTCTGCCTAACTATGACCAGGCTGGGCACAACACAGCATCATCAAAAGAGGGGGCCACCTGTTGCAGTGGGGCATGGGGGCCTTGCCCAAGTGCACAACCAGGAACATCCAGTCAGCTGTGGAATTTGAACACACAATGACAGGAGTATTCCTTTAAACTTTCACTGAAAGACTTCAGCATCTGCCCATTGGTTTACATAAGAAGTGTGTTTTGAGTTGGTTTCCTGTTATTTTACCAAGTGCAAGGAAAGACAAAGATTATTGTCTATGGTAACTGTACACTACAGATTTAGCAGATAGATGTTTGGAAAGCCTAAAGTATTCCTTTAATCTTTCAGTTTGGAGTCAACAGCCTGTTTCCAGTTGGCCTTATGTCGTGAGTTACATACAGCTGCATGGAGCCAAAGCATTCAATCTAAAACTGTTAGCCCTTCCACTGGCCTCCTCTGAGCTCACGGCCCTGCTCTTTTCTCCAGCTTTCAGTATGACTCATGCACACACATGGGGCCCAAGGCCAAAAAGCACAGAGGTGATTACAATCTATGAATACCACAATAGGAAGGCATTCCTCTAAAACATGAGCATTTACACGGGCCCAGTGGCCTCCAGAGACCAGTAAACACAAACAGGTTTGAACCAGATCTCTGCTCTGAGTGGCGTCATGCAGGTCTGAGCCAATGTGTCTGATTTTAATGGTCTGTCTCTGCCACTCACATCAAGCCATTGCATGTTTTTCAAATTTGTGGCTGGAAGGGAATCAAGTAAATAAAGCATCCAACCACCTATTTACCAACCACATTAGTGAGAATAACCAGTTCTGAGTTCATATTTTTTTATTTACATTCACCCTTTATTAATTTATTAATCATCACATAACAAGGGGTAGCCAACCATTAACTGTGTGATAAAAGTGAACAGCGAATGTTAGCCTACACTCTATAAAAAGATGGTTCTTTATTAAAAAAACGGCTCTATATAGAGCCCTGAACACTCAAAGAACCCTTTGCATGGTCAAAGGGTTCTTTGCATGGTGAAAGCGTTCTTCAGATTGATGGAGAATGTGCTATAGATGGTTCTATATAGAACCTTGTTGAAAAGGGTTCTATATAGCGCTAAAAATGGTTCTTTTATGATTATGATGTCAAGCTTGTAACAATGAAAGAACCCTTTTTAAAAAGGTTCTATATAGAACCATAGACAACGCATTTTCCATCAATCTGAAAAACTCTTTCATGATGTAAAGGATCCTTTGATCATGCCATGGGTTCTTTGAGTGTTCATGGTTCTGTATAGAACCGTTTTCTTTACTAAAGAACCCTCAAAGAACCATCTTTTTTTTAAAGAATGTATACAAATATATTAGTTATAGTTTCCCTTGACCACAAATATTTCAAATTAGGCGTGCACCATGCATGGCATTCAACATTTATAAATAAATGGGCCGTGTCTAAAGGAAATATGCATACTGAGCATTAACTGAATTTCAGCAGGCTCTCGCATACAACCTATAGATGTCTGAAATCTTACTGTACAATAATCCCACAATATACACAAAAAAGTATTCTCATCATCTCATTATCAAAAGCATTTCCACTCAGTTTAATGGCTTTCTTTGAAAATAATGCAACTTTGTTGAACCAACGTTATTTACATGAATTAGCTCAAGTTAGTCTGCTATTATTTTCCAACAAACTCAATAAAGGTCATAGAATTTGATTTACTTATACTTTTTATTAAAGTTGGTTTAAAAGTGGTCACTGTAGTGCCCAGTAAGGTTTGAACCGTAACAAAGCAAAGCAGTTAACTTAAATATAGAATGTATGCATATACTTGAGGGAATATAGGCTAGGAGGAAAGACAACACAGAGACAGTGAGTAAGGGGAAAGACATGACCAAAATGCAAATAGATGGCGCCAGGAGCCAATAAAATCTTTAAACACAAGAAATCATCCAAAAAAAATTCCCTAACTCAAAATGGTTGAATAATATGGTATATATCATATTCTGCAACAGACCCAACTTACTTGGGCATGCATTTTGTGATGCCAGGTGAAAAACACAAGAACAGGCACAAAAAAGGACAATATAAATGAGAAATAAACTTGTAAACTTACAACCTGTTGCAGCCACTCTGATCAAGAAAGACACTTTTATAAAGAAAGACGGCTTAATTATGTTTTAGAGGAAACCAAACATAGTGTTAAGAGTTGTTTTTTTCACAAAAAAGTTTCTCAAAAAAATTGGTTTAATAATTATTAGCAACGCCTGTTTGTTTGGTCGATGTTCAAAATAATCAATAATAAGCGCTTTCTTACAGGTGTCAGGTCGGAGTTACTGAGGTGAAATCTAGAAGGGTCCAGTATTGCATCAAACAGGGCGATCAAAAGCAATGAAGCTCATGGAGCCCAAGCTGACTCACAAGCTCTATTCCTGGGGTGAGGCTCAGCAGAGCCTTGCTGACACAGATCTTGAAGGATGACCACATAAAACACAATTATTTTACACGTCAGCTGAGAGGGCACTTGTACAGTCTGAGAGCAAAAGGGCAGGGATTCAAGCCCCCTCTGGGGTCTGTCTGTGCACATGCTGGCTGAACACCCACTTAACCCCGGTGCTGAGGTGGTTACACAAAAAAGTAATACTTTAGAAATTTCTATTTACTTCCTTCAAACTGTAATGAGATTACTAATTACTTCTCAGGAAAAGTCCACTCATTACTCATTACTTCTATGTTAGTCTGTAAAACCCACACAAATCTCTATCAACTGGAAAGTACAAAGGAGAACCTAGTACTTTCAGTACTTATTTAGAAAGAAACAGTCAGTTGAAGTAAACATTATTTACAAGGCCGGTCTGTGCCTGCCTTTGCCCTGTACAAAACATAGCTTTATTAACATTCTGAATGACTCACGCTGTTTGGAAAGCTAGAGACTAGCCCATAGAAACAGTTCAAAAACAGTTTTTTTTTACGAATAAAATGCCAAGTTTACAGAGCTGTTTCTGAATGAAACTTGAGCCTGGCCCAGAGATCTTTACTCATCTGTTTTATATGAGCAGGATTAGATGCTCCTACAGATCACTCGTTCAGGTTACAGCGGCAGAAGGTTGTTGTGCTCTGCTGCTCAGGTAACGCAGACACACACGCAAATTACATACAAGGCCATGTGAAGATCACTCACTGAGCGCTTCATTAGGAGCACCTTCATGTTTCTAAACTCACTGTCCATTTTATCAGCTCCAGTTATCATATAGAAGTACTTTGTAGTTCTACAATTACAGACTGTATTCTGTCTGCCTGCATACTTTGTAAGCCCCCTTTTGTGTGTTGCACTGGTACAAGTGGATCAGACACAGCAGTGCTGCTCACTGCAGTGCACCTCAGTGTCACTGCTGGACTGAGAATAGCCCACCAACCAAAAATATCCAACCAGCAGTGTCTGTGACCACTGATGAAGGACTAGAGTATGAGCAACACAAACTGTGCAGCAATAGATGAGCTACTGGCTCTGATTTTACACCTACAAGGTGGACCAACAAGGTAGGTGTGTCTAATAGAGTGTGGGAGGGGGGAACACCCTGGACAGGTCGCCAGTCCATTACAGGGCAGACACACAGACATATACATTCACACACACCTAGGGGCAATTTAGCATCTCCAATTCCACCTGACCGCATGTCTTTGGACTGTGAGCAGAACTCAAAAACACTAGCCAGTACCTGACTAGCAAACACAGCTTTGAACAGTGCACATAATAAACAACATGTAATATTTTTCATTAAAACACAAAAGTTGACTTAATTGCAAAAAAATTGTGTTTCAGTAGTGACAAGTCTTAATGTTGCCCTGATTTTCAGGCTTTGGGACACATTTACTTCAAAACTATTTGATTTTGACTTATTGCTCACCATGTGGTCATGAGGGACAGGGATGCAGTCTCACTTTCTGCTCTGAAATGTAGGGGTGTGGCTAAAATAAGGCTCCGCCCATGGACTAAAACTGTTTAGTGAAGAATAAAAACTTGGGACCGCATTTTTGAATAATGTTTCTTTTAAGCTCATTATAAATCTTTCAACTTTTTACTTTTAACTTCTCTTTCAAGGACATCTTTCAAAAACAACATTAAATATGCAAAAAAAAGTATTTTTTTTTACAAGTTGAAGTTTAGGGGTTAGGGTTTTAGACAGTCACCTATAAATGATGATTTTGTATGTAATTTAATGTAAAGAGGTTATATTCAAAATGATTTTGGAGCATGTCTGTTGGTCCATTCATACTGATCATGAATTTCTACACAGTGTAAAGGACGCCTGCCTGTTTAAATAGTGAAAAATGAAAGGAGATCCATGTTTGTTTGTTTGTTTGTTTGTTTGTTTGTTTTTGTTTGTGGACAGCGATAGTATATTTAACCTAATACTGTCTCAATTATTGCCTTGGGTTTAAATAGATTATGACACAATCCTTGTAAATATCTAAGGTCTAAATACTTACATTTTTTTAATAGTGTTTCAAATACTTCCCCGGATAGAGAGTAGAGAACAGCGCCGTTTCGGACACAGTCTGCGTCAATAAGCATTGGAGTGTTCATGCCTGAGCAGCAGGGGGCGCTATTGTGCTCGGCAGCGTTGGGCGGTGCGGAGGAAGAGCAGCACAGGAAGAGTTGATGGGAGTTGTATTTACTATCAGTGATCAGCGCTTCGCTTCACGACCAACTTCTCCCATGAATCGTTGCCTTTTTATCTAAAAAAACCTCACTGGAACAGATAGCACTTTAGGTTCAGTGGCATGGCTGAAAAGAAGACGGTTATTGTGACAGGTAAAGGCTTTGTTTTGTGTGTTCATCCAGTGAAACTCTTTCTGGTGGGAGCTTATGGGGAAAACAAAAGAATGACTGACTTGATCGAGTAGTTCTGTGACAGTTGTCGCTTTATCATTGGTTCTGTTAATGGTGACTCATTTAAAAGAAAAAAAACATTAACACTGTTGCTTCAACACATGGCTGTTTTTGCTGAATGTTAAAGCGTTTGCTATAGATACGGATTACTATTGTATTAATGTGCTATTATAACTCAGCTATTGAAGAATCTGTGGGAATGAATGGTTTCAGGTCAGCTTAGAACTGAACGAATTGAAGTTATTCTGCTAGCATAGTTTCTTAAAAGGGAATTCCACCATTTTTTAAAAATGTTCTGAATAATTTAGTCCTTGTGATGTAAACAGAGTCATTCAGAGTGGTGTAATGTGAAATGGTTCATTGTAGAGAAACTTTTACAGTAGTGGTGATAGGAACCAGGAGTCACCATGTCTACAACACAAATATAACCATTTTATTCACCATCCAAACCCACCAGTGAACCGACATGTGACTTTGGGGACTATTTTGCCTTACAGCACTCTGCATGTACCCCTCCGCCATGAATGGAATAAAATAAATGGATTTCAAGCCAAAACTTTATCCTAAAACTATCACAAAACAATGTCATGGTTATCAGGAAGTGTATTATAATTACCATTTCATGTAAAAACTTTCTATGAATGGGCTTTAAACTCTTCAGAGAGGCATTAAACTCTTCAGACGTCTGATTCCTATCACTCCAACTGTGAACAATTCTGACTCTGTCAGTTTCTCTAGAACAAAACATTTCACACGAAACCACTCTGACTGACTGTTTACATCTCAGCCATTAAATTATATGGAATTTTTGAAAAATCAGTGGATCCCCTTTAAAACTAGTGTTAGTGATTTTCCTGACACAAGTACTATCTATGTGACTTTACCCTTCATAGAGTTAAGTTACTCATTAAATCTCTGCTAGAGTCTGGTTAAATGATAAAAAGCCCATCACTCTGTAGGGGGAATGTAAATTTCTGAACACCTGTTGTTTGGTTTGAAGTTTATGGAAGTGTAAAAGAGACTATCAGTGGGGCCAATGTACAGCACTGATACCACCATGTCTTTTCTACAGGTTTTGAGCCTTTTGGAGAGCATGCTGTTAATGCAAGCTGGGTGGCCGTGCAGGTATGAAGAAATACAGCAAGTGCAACTAGTAGAAGTTAAAAAGTAACTGATGTGACCTAGAAGCAAGTATGGACCCTGAAATGTCTTCCTGCAGATTGTACGTTCTCAAGGATTTCATGAAATAGTTTTGCAAGATTGTGAGGTATATGTGAAGATTTCTGAAGTTGTCATTCATCAGCCGCACAAATGATGCAATTAAAGTTGTCGCTATCAGTTATATCAGTAGTTGAGCAATCTACCAATTGTTTGGTTTTGACCATTAATCAGGTTATAAGAGTTTCCTTGTGGACTTAAAGGGGAACGCCACCTCTTTTTCTGATACCTTCAACTGTTGAAAGCATAATTGTCTTTTCCAAATAAACTGTTTTTTTTTCATAATATGTCCAACTAAGACTGTTGGTTATTTGGGCTTTGAGTGAGAGGTGAGGATTGATGTGTTTGAGGATCCACTTGTTTGTTTTCTTTGCCGTCCAAGGTACTCCAAAGTTCAAAGGCATCAATATGTTTTGTTGTCCAGTTTTGACATCTATAAAGAACTACAGAAACGACCACAACCTGGACAATTTTTTTGGATCTTTTTTGTATATTAGTATATAGTGTACAGTATATTTTAATTCAGCGGTGGATCCAAACACACCTTAAGCAGGTCATCAAGGGCTACAGAATATCACTTAGGTCTCTTCTAGGGTGGGCCCTCAGGGGGATATTTCACAAATGTATCTTTGCTGGGTAATATACAGTTATATGCAAAAGTCTGGGTACCACTGGTCAAAGTACATGTTTTGTTGGATTGGATTTTAATGCACAGATACTGGTTATTTGCTGAATTTAACATTGGGGGGGAAATTAAATATAAAATGTGGCAGTGAAATCGTGAAATGTGAAAATTATTTTTTCTCAATGTGTTAAACTCAGCAATTAAATAGAAATTGTACCCAAACATTTGCAGAAAAATGCTTAAGTAGTGGTAGATATGGTGAAGGAGAGAGCAGTAGGAGAATTTATATATATTAAATGTTCCTACTGCTCTCTCTTATAGCCTATTCATCTGCACATAGTCTCTCTCTCTCTCTCTCGATGTATATGTGTGTGTGCATATATATATATATATATATCAAGAGAGAGAGAGAAAGAGAGAGAATTTGAATGTGTTATCATAAAGTTAGCACATTTTAATAGTACTTTTTAAATCGAGCTTTGACAGCCCTAAATGAGATGTGTTTTTGAAATTTATAATTGCTCCAATTTTAAAATATAATTATATTATATAATTATATTATATTATAATATATAAATGCAAACTGTGCCTACCAGAGAAAGAGAGACACAGCCTTGTTATTTGAAATGTTCTTGTGTGTGTGTGTGTGTGTGTGTGTGTGTGTGTGTGTGTGTGTGTGTGTGTGTTCATCTCAGGAATTGGAGAAATTGGGCTTGGGGCAGAATGTGGACCTGCATGTCAGTGAGGTTCCTGTGGAGTACCAGGCAGTCCAGAACCTTCTGCCATCACTATGGAAACAGTACCACCCACAGGTACTGTCACTGCCATTTGTTGGACACTTTCGCTCAGTGCTATTAAGGCTATGTTTAGACAGCCAGTCGATTTTCATATATACATGTACATTTTACACATGCATCTCTGATCTCTCTGTAACTCTTTCTCACTGTCCAAATACTTCTTAACTTCTCTGCATATATTTGTACTTTTAACTTTAACAACTCTCACTTTTGTTTCATGCTCCAAAGTTAGTGGTGCATGTAGGAGTTTCCGGAATGGCTACCACGGTAACCCTTGAAAAATGTGGGCATAACCATGGTTACAGCCGCCTTGACAACTGTAACTTCTATCCTGGGACGGAGTGCTGTATGGAGGGAGGACCAGATTGTATCCACTCAGTCATAGATATGGATGCTGTCTGCAAGAGGGTCAACTCCTCAGGCCTTGGAGTTACTGTGTCTGTCTCAAAGGACGCTGGCAGGTATGCAGTTGACATTGAACAGAAATAATAAAAAGAATGAGATATATTAGAAAAGATAACCAAAATTTGTAGTGTGTTTTTTGTTTAGATTCAGAAGTGTGTGACATTAGTAGGTCAAGTTCTGAATCTTGTTGTAGCCCTTTACCTATCTATTTAGTTGGCGGTTATGTAAACTACAACTAATTTTTGGCTTTTTTGGCTGAAGAAATTACTTAATAATGTCTTAAACTGCAGGCTCACTGTTATTAAGTTAACTCTTCAAGTCAAGAGTTATTACTGTTATTTTGCCAATCTATTCACATGTAGTTATTATGTCCATTCTAACTAATGTTGATATTCAAGTATCTGTATAAGTTCAGGAAAAACAATGCAAAACAAAAAAAAACAATGAAATAAAAGACAGACTAAAAACAGTGTATGGCTTACCTTGTTAGGTAACAACACTGGTGTTGCACATAATATAGCAGCATGCTGAGAAACATGTTTTACTGTTCAAATACAGCCGAGAGACATTGTTGGTTTCCACGCCAGGTACTTTCTCCCAAGTGAATGATGTGCCAACAAGTTATTTTACAGAGAAACATGTTTAAAATGTTTCTGGAATTGGCTAACATCAGCGAGAGTAGCTAGCCTGGTTAGCAATACAGCCATGCTAACTCTGCCTTCTAAGCCACATCCTTAACAACACGTCTTTTGTAACATGCTCACATTACATACTCACTCAGAAATACGAGCAAAGCCGTCACATTTGACTGAATTGCCTGCCTGTATATTTTCTCTGTCAAAAACATATTAAATATGTAAAGGATGTGTGTTTTTTGTGTAAAATGAATTCATGCACAACAGTAACTTTTTATCGAATTAAAACTTCTAAAATACGAAGAGATGATTAAAAGCTTAGAAACTGGCACATTCAGCAGAATGCCTACATTTGTTTAGGTGACTTATGAGTGAGAAATATTTAATGTTAAAGTACACCATGTTTTTTGTTTCTGCCAATAACAGTAACTTCTAAGACTGGCTTTAAACAGCAAAACATGCACACAACTTTAATTGCTTTAAATCTACATTGCACTTGAGTTGCATAATGTAAAGCATCCTGCAACTCACTTGTAATTTAGGCACATCAGTTGCAAACATCCTCAAGTGTTTGAAGTGAACTGGAGAACGATTTACATTATGCAACACAAGTGAAATTTGTTTCATGTAGGTTACAAATAACTAAAGTTGCATGAAAGTTTCACAGTGTAAAGCTGGCCTAAGGGCTATGGCAGGGGTCAGCAACGTGAAACTCTTTAAGGTGGAATGGGAAAATTCGAAGAAGAAGCTGGCAAATGAGACTGACATCAGTCTCATAAAAACTTGAATGTTGAGAAACATTTTACAAGAAACTATTGTACTTTTGCGGAAAAGCATCCTGCTGGAGAAGCAAGAAAAGCGGCTGTAGCTGAGCTAAAGCTTAAAGCACAGCAAAGTAAATCTGCTTTTTTGTTTATATTTTTTAGCTTATACTAGCACATTAGCATGTACTGAGACATATTTACAGCCAAAATGGTAAAACGTTACTTCAATAAAATGGACATAAAATGTTGTGGCTCCCAAGATGGATTGATTATTGTTGAAAGAACAAAATAGCTCTTCTAAACATTTAGGTTGCTGACCCCTGGGCTGTGGGGTTAAGCTTGGATAGAGCTAGGATTGAGGCTCTGTGCTTTGCTTGTTGCAGGAATCCTGTGCATAAAATATCAGTCATTACTAATTACAATAATTGTATCATATACAAGGATGTTTTCTCTGTTTGGCCCCCTTTCATGCCAGTTTTATTCTCATCAGATACCTGTGTGAGTACACCTACTACACGTCTTTGTACCTGGGCAAGGGAAAGTCGGCTTTCGTGCACGTGCCGCCCCTGGGAAAGCCCTACAGCGCAGAGGAGTTGGCCCAGGCCCTCAGGGCCGTGATCTTGGAAATGCTGGAACTGATGGAGCACAACACAGAGAAGCAGCTTTGCCAGCACGGTCAATGAGGGAACAGGGGAGTGTCCCAAACAGCTCACTCTCTATGTAGTGTCTGTGCACAGACAGGAGGTTCAGCTATGCTCAATGATGTCAATATCTTGTGCTTATGCACACTACATAGGGAGCAGTGGGCTGATTTGAGATGCAGCCTGCACACTAAGCCTGTCGTCACTGTGGCCAGATAAGAACGGACGGCACGTTATGGGGCATAATCAAAAGATGCTGAGATGAGGTGCTATGTATAAAGAACTCTTTTTGAATCGATGTGAATGGAAACAGCGCATATAGAACCTATCAGTGCACAAACTGCTATGTTTATATTTTTCACTTCTCTGCAGCTTTTAAATATACCCCAGTCACACTGTGGACAGAAGGAGGTCGTTCATAAAGTCTCTTTGCCTATATGTGTGCTGTCACATCAAAACCTTGTAACTTCATTATGTTTCAGTTTTTATTCGTTATTAACATTCAAAGTTCTGTGTGTTTCCTAGCATCTTAAAAATAGGGTCTCTGAGCTAGCTGAGCAGTTTTACACAGTGATAGGTGGAGGTGGTGAGAGTGGGAGGTAATTCCTGATCTTATTGGTTAACATTATTTTCCCTGCCCACTGGTGCACAGAGTCATAATCAAAAATCAATAGGCAATTTAGAGGTGGAGCAAAATGGTATGATGAATTGTGCTTAAAGGGCAATTCCTCAGATTTTTCAAAATCTCTACTTAAATGAAAATTGAGTCAGTCAGAGAGATTTGAAGTAAATTGATGCACTGTGTAGACACTTACTGATTCAAATTTCTTTACATTGTTGTGATCACCACCAGGGTCGCCATTTCTACAGTGAACTATAGTCTACAGTATAGCCATTTTATTTACTATCTAAAGACACCTTCCCTCAAAGTGATTTACTATCCAAAGCCCAAACTTTCTCTCAAAACTATTCTAAAACAATGTCTCAGCCATCATATTTGGAACCATTTCATGTAATAACTTTCTGTAAGGGAGTTTTTAGAGGCATTAAACGCTTCAGATGTTTGGTTCCCATCACCACCTTTGAACAATTCTGACTCCCTTAGATTCTCTAGAACATAAAATTTCTCATCAAACCACTCTGGCTGATTTTGTTTAAATGTTAATTTAAGGTTGATTTGAGCAGAAACTTTTATAAATTGGTGGAATACCCCTTCAATATGACCAGGGACATTAACTAAAAAGGTAAAAGACAGGTAATTTTTGAATCACCAGTAGTCTTTTCGTTGTGTAAACATTTCATGAAGAATGGACCAAGATAAATGGTCCAAAATTACTTGAAATCTTGCTACTTTAAAAGTATTTTGCCTTCTACACTGAAAAACTACCTTTTGGAGTACAAACTCTGTCTCTGTGGTAGTATCCTCAAGGATGCATCTTCCTTTAGTTAGGGAACATAATTGTACGATATACCACTGCAGTTCTATTTTTGTAAACTTGCACTGACTCCATACACCCAGTCTTGACACAAGGCTATTTATTTCTATCATCACCGTCCAAAAAAAGCATGTATCTCCATTTGTGTCGATTGTAATTTTTCCCCCATCATTGGAACACTGCAGCTGTCCTTTACATTGTGTGAAAATTTCATGATGAATGGATCAATAGAAATGGTCCAAAATTACTCCTCCTTGGCTCAACACCTCTTTGCATTAACTTACAAGTTTAGGAGGTTCTTGCCTTCTGCTGTAAAGTTACTATTTTGGAGATAAATGTTGTTTTTGTTTTGTTTGGGCTTTTTTTTTTGGACAGCCACTATATGCATTTTTATTTAGTTGAGATGTAATAGAAGTCATTCAGAGTGGTTTGACATGAAATGGTTCATCGCAGAGAAATTGACTGACTCAAATTTTGTTTACAGTAGTGGTGACAGGAACCAGGGATCATAGTGTCTACAACACAAATATAGCCATGTTATGCAGCATCCGAAACAGTCTCATATGTGTCTTCTTTTATATGTAATGTTGCTGATGTCAAAATGGCTAAAAAGAGGTTAATCTGGTGGGTGGGGGAGTTTTCTTTGGGGATTATTGTGCTTCACAACCTCTTGCATGTACCACTACATCATAAATGTTGTTTTTTTTTTCAAAAATATGTCTTAGGCCATAATGTTTTCCTAAACCTATCAAAAAACAGTGTCTCATTCATCAGGCAACATATTTGTGTCCATTTCTTGTAATAACTTTCTGTGAGCAAGATTTTAAAGGCATTGAACTTTGGACGTCTACCACTGTGTGGTATTCTGACACAGTTTCTCTAGAATGGAGCATTTCACATCAGACCACTCTGAATAACTTTGTTTACATCTTAACCATTTAATTATGCAGAAATGTTGAACAATCGTTGGAATCCCCTTCAAGATCCATGTTGTTCCTTTGAGGGTGCATTTACATAGCTTGCACCTGGACAGTATTTTTTTTTTTCCAGTGTAATGTAATGTAATGTAAAGTTAGCATTTTGGACATATAAGGTTTTGTTATGACAGCAACGAAATGAGCATAACACAATATGTTTTCATTTAGGGAGAGGCTGGTAGCGAATTATATTTTAGTAGACATACTAACACTGAAAGTGAAAGAAAAAGTTTAGTCTGAATGAATAACAACAATGTGCACTGTTTTCCTCATAGAGTGGGGTGCACAAAGGGGATGAGATTGGAAATGTTTGTCTGTACAGTGCCTATATTAGCATTGAAATGTTAGCCAACTGTCTAAAGTGATGAACTCTAGTACCTTGATTTTTCTGGGTTTCTTTGTTGTTTGTTTGTTTTTTCTGTGAAAAATGATAAATAGTGTGTATTTCTACATGATCATAGTCAAAGCACACACCTTGGAAATACTGTTGCCTTCTGCATATATCAAGGTCTTCTGCAAACATTATAAACAGCTGTCTTTTCAGGGGTATTGTAATTGTCAGCAGCTTTTCTGTGAAGAATGCTACTGTGAAATCAGGGTTCGAAATGTATGACATAATCTGTTGTTCACATCCTACAGCATATTGTCGCTGTCTTAATAAAACTCATATCTCTGAAATAATAACTTTATAAAAGAAGCAAAGAAAACGGCTTCAAGTTTAGTGTACATTACTATGCAGAACTCAGAGATCATCCTTCATTTATTTTATTTCCACTCAAAATGGCCATTTAATGCAAGTTATTCAATAACAGGAGATATTTCTATCCTTCAATAGAGGATGTTAGATATACTCTACTTGCATAAGGAAGGAGAAATTCAAAGGAAAAGTGGTGTTTCCAAACTTGGAAAATGGGACTCTAAAGAACCATGCAAGATAAACAACATTTAAAGCTTTCATCTTTGAGAGAGAGGAGAAAATTACTTGGATTATGAGATGCAGGAAATGCAATCACTTTCCACCAGACTTAGAAGGTGTGGAAAAATATCCATGCAGATTTCTCTGAGAAACTGTAAGCAAGTCTCCTGAAAAGAATGGAATCTGTGATAGAGGCAAAATATGGACTCACTGAACACTGAAAAATGTTAGATTTAGTTGTTAAGGTTTCTGTTTAATTTTGTGTTAAATATGTTTTTTCTTCCTGACACTGAAAAATGTATAACTTAATGGCTGGAAATTATAAAATGAACAGTGGTCACTGACTTTTGCAAAGCACTGTATGTTAATGTAAATAGATTTTATTCCAAGTAGCTTGAACCATATCTATTGACCGTATCAGTTCTATTGCTCCCACAATGTAATGGGCAATTGCCATTTTGAGATACAATTTTGTGTTAAACGAAACAAAAAACAAGCAGTCTTGATATAACAGCGGCAATATGATAGGAACGTGGGCCTTAAGTGTGCCTAATGAAAAAAATATAGAAATATAGTTTTGGAGAAGTTATAGTTATAGGAAATACTGACAGTGAAAGCATTTACTTTCATTTGTATGATCTTTTCTTTCTTTTTTTTAAGAAACACTGGACCAATCTGGTAATGTGAAGCTGATTGCTCCACTTTATGATGTCTACCTACAGTCTTTCTCATCATTTCATGTTAACCTGTGGAACAGTTAGTCATGTACACCTGAGTGAGAAAAAGTTCATGAACCCTTTGGAATTATGTGGATTTCTGCAGGAAACAATGTGATCTGATCTTCAGCTACATCATAATGATAAATAAAGACACTGTTATTTAATAAAGTGCCATTTTTTGATTAAAGAAATGTCATTCAAGGGTTATTTAGAGCCAGATGTTCTCTTCAGTTTGGCTTTTGGTTTGACCTGCCTTGCCATTAATAATAATAATACTACTACTAATAATAATAATAACAAAAGTAACTGGTAACTTGCCCTTCAAGATGCAATACCGTTCATGTCAGTCTGACCCAATCCAAAGCGACCTCAGAATAAAAGCTGTTAAAGCTCATAAGATCTTTAGTAAACAGTCAACTTGACACAGTAGTTTATACAGTAATTAACTGTGTAAGTCAATTTAAAGAGCAAGCACTCAAAAATTAGGGCAAATTAAGAATCAGGTTGTGCTGGCCAGGTATGTATGGAATTTGGACTAACAATTTATTTCAGCAATATGCTGAGAAATTAGTTTATACTTTCATAACTACTAGATGACACAAATGTATTCTCAAGAATAAGGTGAGCCCATCCATTAAATGGGACACATACTTTTTTGCTACAGTCAATCATGACGACTAGAGCACTGCATGCGTGATATCTTGAGCAGGCGCCTCATCTTTTATAAGGCCCTGTATAATGGTTGAGTGGCGTGATGGCCAAGTGGCAAGGCGTCCATTTCATAAACTGGAAATTGTGGGTTAAACCAACAAGTCCGTGGCTTTTTGCCTATGGTTCCCGCCAACTGTGTAACGTGGCTTGAGGAGGTCCTCTTAGTTTGACTGTCTACTTTAGAAAACACAGTGTTCTACCACATGGGTATTCTGTAGGCTGTGTTCTGGGTCGGGACCGCACCTTTGCAGCATTATCTGTTCGCATTACTGCCTTGCCAGTGTGAGAAGGGGATGTAGCTCAGTGGTAGCGTGCATGCTTCGCATAACGGCACCTCTTCACCAAAGAGGTGCCGTTATGGCTTGCAATTGAAGCGTGGCAACAGCTCTCCGAATGCTGGTAGCTCTGCTGAAGTGTGTTCTGCTTTAAAACACCATCCTGATCATGTCCCAGCACTTTCCACATGATGGCCTGTGCACCTTATCCCCTCTGGCTCACAGGCGACTTTTCCCTGTGTGGTGTGTCCCATCAAGTGACGTACACGGCGGCGCGATGGGCAAGTGGAATGCCGACGGTCTAGTAAACCGAAAATGACGAGCCCCGTCCGTGCCTTTTAGAGGCCGCTGAAAGAGGAGAAAAATGCCAACTAGTTACACAGGAGTACCCATATTTGTTGCAGAATATTTCCCCATAGTGAGCTCTGCTTTGCTTCTGGCTTACAGTTCATGCATTCGTTGCCTTAAGGTGGGGATGTAGCCGTAGAGCACATGCTTTGCGTGTATGAGGTCAAGGCTTCAATCCCCTGTGCCTCCATACTCTTGGGTTCCGCTCTAAAGATTCACAAGCTTCTTTTTTCAAATCAAACCCTTTACATATAACGAGCCCACCTTGGCTGCACCCACAATACAGTTGCAAATGAAAATCCTTAGTCTTGCAACTCGCAAAATTCCTTCGGAGGAGACACACAATGCATTTGCTGGACTCACGTGTCCATGTTGCTGACAAGTTGAGTGCCATGACCATAAGCGCAGGGTGTCCGCTGTTGTCCGCAGAGGGCCGGTGCAGCTGTAGGTTTTTACTCCAAACAAGCTGGGGTATACCTGAATCCACTTGTTTGATTGGCTGGTCTCAGTCTTCAAAATGCTGATCTGGTGATCTCCTGAAAACCTGCAGCCGTACCAGACCTTTGTGCATAAGATTGGACAACCCTGCTGTACGCCCAGTGTTAAAAACTGATTGTGCAAGTTTAACTGGACCATGAACAAAACATTTAGACTCAGAATAATTGTGCCACATGTCTCGCGGGAGCCCAAGCCGGATGTGCAAATGTTGCATGTGTTGTCATGAACGAGGTGAGCCCATCCGGCTCATTACGCTTTATCGTAAGGGTTTCTTATGGCGACTAGGCTGTCGCACGCGTGACTTCTTAAGCAGAATCTTCACTGCTTACAAGACCTCGCAAGGGCCCTGGCTGGCATGGTGGCCAAGTGGCAAGGCGTCGGTCTCGTAAACCGAAGATCACGGGTTCAACCCCCGTCCGTGCCTTTTTCGCCTATAAGCCCTTACAGCCTTGCGTACGGTTTGGGCGCTTTGTTCCTGCTGGCTTACAGGCAAGTTTGCCCCGTGGTATACGCCCCATTAAACACAGCAGATCGAGGTGCGATGGCCAAGTGGCAAGGCGTCGGTCTTGTAAACCGAAGATCACGGGTTCGAGCCCCGTTCGTGCCTTTTAGGGGCCGCTGGAAAAAAAAAACGACTGTGAAACAGCTCCACGGGAATATCCATACTTGTTACATAATGTTTCCCCATTGCAAGCTCCGCTTTCTTTCTGCCTCGCAGTTCATGCTGTTGGCACTGGACTGGGGGGATGTAGCTCAGTGGTAGAGCGCATGCTTTGCATGTATGAGGTCCAGGGTTCAATCCCCTGCATCTCCATAGGCTTTGCTTCCACATTGAAGCTTCAGGACTTTCCTTTAAGTCCACAGCTTTGCATATGGCTGGCCCACCTTGGCTGAACTCGCAACACAGTTTCAAATAAACATTCTCGATATGGGAAGGTGCCAAGTCCCACCGGAGCAGACAGAGAAAGCATTCGCAGGGCTCGCGTGTCCGTACTGTAAAGTGTAAAGCTTCGTGTGTACTGCAGTCAACCTACCTGCAAACTAGCTAGCACATTGTGAGGGGCTTGCAGCGTGACTTTATCCCAGAACAATTGTAGCGACTTTCACATTTACAATTCCTGGAATGGAGACATCCTGCCGTGCTCTCTGATCTGAGACATTATGTCAGTTCAAAGGATTTCACGTGGGTTCTGTCTCATGTCTCGCCTGACCAGTTACTAGCCTCCATGCAAGCAAGCTTTGAATTAGTTTTAGCTACTTCATAAGAGCAACAGTCGACAAGGCCATTTGTTTACAGATGATCTACCGCTTTGTTGAAATGAAAACCTGCAGCCGTACCGGCCCTTTTCGGATAAGATTGGACACCCCTGCTGTAAGCCGAATCTTAAAAACTGACTGCACAAAGTTTATGTAGACCATGAACAAAAAATTTAGCTCAGAACAATTGTACCACAGGTCTCGCGGGAGCCCAAGCTGGATGTTTGCATGTGTTGCCATGAATAAGGCCAGCCCATCCATGAAATGCGACACATAATACTTTTTTGCTAGGGTCTCTCGTGGCGGCTAGGCCGTTTCACGTGTGACATTTTGAGCAGGCCCTTCATCTTTTACAAGACACTGGGTAATGGTTGAGTGGCATAGTGGCCAAGTGGCAAGGCGTCCATTTCGTAAACCGAAAATTGTGAGTTAAACCAACCCGTCTGTGGCTTTTTGCCTATGGTTCCCGCCGACTGCGTAACATGGCTTGTGGAGGTCCTCTTAGTTTGACTGTCTACTTTAGCACGCTCAATGTTCTGCCACATGGGTGTTCTACTTGCTAAAGAGAAGCTCGACAGACTGTGTTCTGGGTCGCGACCGCACCTTTGCAGCATTGTCCGTTCTCGTCACTGCCTTACCAGTGTGAGAAGGGGATGTAGCTCAGTGGTAGAGCGCATGCTTCGCATGTATGAGGTCCTGGGTTCAATCCCCAGCATCTCCAACGAGGCACCGTTATGGCTTGCAGGGTTGCAATTAAAGTGTGGCAACAGCTCGCTGAAGTGTGTTGTGCTTTTAAAACACCATCCTGATCGTGTCCCAGCATTTTCCACATGATGGCCTGTGCACCTTATCCCCTCTGGCTCACAGGCGACTTTGCCCTGTGTGGTGTGTCCCATCAAGTGACGTACACGGCGGCGCGATGGGCAAGTGGAATGCCGGCGGTCTAGTAAACCGAAAATGACGAGCCCCGTCCGTGCCTTTTAGAGGCCGCTGAAAGAGGAGAAAAATGCCAACTAGTTACACAGGAGTACCCATATTTGTTGCAGAATATTTCCCCATAGTGAGCTCTGCTTTGCTTCTGGCTTACAGTTCATGCATTCGTTGCCTTAAGGTGGGGATGTAGCCGTAGAGCACATGCTTTGCGTGTATGAGGTCAAGGCTTCAATCCCCTGTGCCTCCATACTCTTGGGTTCCGCTCTAAAGATTCACAAGCTTCTTTTTTCAAATCAAACCCTTTACATATAACGAGCCCACCTTGGCTGCACCCACAATACAGTTGCAAATGAAAATCCTTAGTCTTGCAACTCGCAAAATTCCTTCGGAGGAGACACACAATGCATTTGCTGGACTCACGTGTCCATGTTGCTGACAAGTTGAGTGCCATGACCATAAGCGCAGGGTGTCCGCTGTTGTCCGCAGAGGGCCGGTGCAGCTGTAGGTTTTTACTCCAAACAAGCTGGGGTATACCTGAATCCACTTGTTTGATTGGCTGGTCTCAGTCTTCAAAATGCTGATCTGGTGATCTCCTGAAAACCTGCAGCCGTACCAGACCTTTGTGCATAAGATTGGACAACCCTGCTGTACGCCCAGTGTTAAAAACTGATTGTGCAAGTTTAACTGGACCATGAACAAAACATTTAGACTCAGAATAATTGTGCCACATGTCTCGCGGGAGCCCAAGCCGGATGTGCAAATGTTGCATGTGTTGTCATGAACGAGGTGAGCCCATCCGGCTCATTACGCTTTATCGTAAGGGTTTCTTATGGCGACTAGGCTGTCGCACGCGTGACTTCTTAAGCAGAATCTTCACTGCTTACAAGACCTCGCAAGGGCCCTGGCTGGCATGGTGGCCAAGTGGCAAGGCGTCGGTCTCGTAAACCGAAGATCACGGGTTCAACCCCCGTCCGTGCCTTTTTCGCCTATAAGCCCTTACAGCCTTGCGTACGGTTTGGGCGCTTTGTTCCTGCTGGCTTACAGGCAAGTTTGCCCCGTGGTATACGCCCCATTAAACACAGCAGATCGAGGCGCGATGGCCAAGTGGCAAGGCGTCGGTCTTGTAAACCGAAGATCACG